TGATTTTCGTAAAAGATTGAACTTTGCGGACCTGTAGGAGGCTTAAAGAATTTTTTCCTCTTACGAAACCTGAATAGATTTACAGAATGAACTCTGCCCTTTCCAACGCGCCCAAAAACGTCGCTCCACGATTTTTCGGTGCCATTATATGACCGTTCGAATGGAAAGTGTGTCGGCAGGAGTTGAATTTCGAATTTCAAAAACTCCGTGAGGAACGACGAAATTCAAAGGCTCGTAACTTTGTTGCACATGATCGTATCGCGATGAGCCTTAGCTTATTTAAAAGCGCAAACTCTGAACTTTCTAATCCTGTTTGATTCCTTAAAGTAGATTCGCGATGCCATTGATTATTGCGCATTTGCTACAAAGAATGATTTTCGTAAAAGATTGAACTTTGCGGATCTGTAGGAGGCTTAAAGAATTTTTTCCTCTTACGAAACCTGAATAGATTTACAGAATGAACTCTGCCCTTTCCAACGCGCCCAAAAACGTCGCTCCACGATTTTTCGGTGCCATTATATGACCGTTCGAATGGGAAGTGTGTCGGCAGGAGTTGAATTTCGAATTTCAAAAACTCCGTGAGGAACGACGAAATTCAAAGGCTCGTAACTTTGTTGCACATGATCGTATCGCGATGAGCCTTAGCTTATTTAAAAGCGCAAACTCTGAACTTTCTAATCCTGTTTGATTCCTTAAAGTAGATTCGCGATGCCATTGATTATTGCGCATTTGCTACAAAGAATGATTTTCGTAAAAGATTGAACTTTGCGGATCTGTAGGAGGCTTAAAGAATTTTTTCCTCTTACGAAACCTGAATAGATTTACAGAATGAACTCTGCCCTTTCCAACGCGCCCAAAAACGTCGCTCCACGATTTTTCGGTGCCATTATATGACCGTTCGAATGGGAAGTGTGTCGGCAGGAGTTGAATTTCGAATTTCAAAAACTCCGCGAGAAACGGTGAAATTCAAAGGGCTGTGACGCTATTGCAAGTAATCGCACCACGACGACTCTTAACACATTTGAAACGGCGAAGTTTCTGCTTCAAGAACGTCTCAGTTGCTTCGATCCAGGCACACTGATCCGTTGGCATTCGCAATTTTCGTAACAGCGATTTCTCGCGATTTGGTCACAGTCGCGGGAATAATAATTACGCATGGCTGAAGGTCAGTTTGAGCCCGCCCACCAGGCTGATGAAGTTGAAGATAGGTACGTAGTCCCGTTCTGCGATGCGACAGTAGATTCGGAAGGGTTGTTGGTTGCAGATCGTGCCGACCTGCGTCGGATCGGTGGAGAGCGAATCGTTGAAAATTTATGAACGTTGAACGGTCGTTGTTCCCGACTGGCTCGGCGCCGCTTGGAACGACGGACTCGCCGTCGCGATCGAATTAATCGTGATTTTTCACTGGAGCACGATCTCACCGATGGATTTTATGCACGCCACAAAACGTTCCCGGAGTCCCCTATCGCGATCGATTCGCGAGCGTCGGCGTAGAAAAGGAAAAAAAATCGACCGAACCGCTGCTTTTGTTGTGCGCCGTCGAACGACGTTGTCCTCCGCCCACGCTTCCTTTTTTCTCTCTTTCTCCCTCTTCGGCTTTAGTTTATTTATCGGCGTGGGCGCGTTCAGCCGCGACGGACCAGATAAATCGCGGCCGGAGGAACTTTCCATTTATGGTTCGAAAAGCCACCGCGGCCGATGACGGCCAAGTGCCGCGGCGGGGCCCGCCCCTCCGATTAATGTTAAGCGGATTAAAACATTGAATGGGCATTAAATTAAATTGGCCTTGATCATTCGCGGCGCCGAGCCGGAGCACCGGCCCGAGTATCCTGTCGATAACATTCGCGGCCACTTTGAAATATTTTAAGAGGGATGGACGAGATGGAACCGGATCCCGTGGACCGTCCTTTCTTGTACCCTCTTCCCGATTAAAGCGGATTACGATTTTACAGGACTAAAACCTTCCCCCCTCCCCCCAGATTCCGGGTAATCGATGACGAGAGAATTCTTGACGGCTCGCGACGGTCTACAGGATGCTCGAAGCCTGGCCTCGAAGTCGTTCCGATAGCTGGATAACGATTGCCGGCGAGATACCTCGGCGAAGAGATCGCTGATCCTGGGAAACACTTCGTCCTTCAAGGTTATGGTCGTCCTCTGCACTATCAAACTCGGATTGCTCACGATCGTCACTACGATTTCGATGGGAGGATGCACCAGCATTATTCCGAGTGAAATTTTCGGCCACCGATTACGTATACATTCTGGAATTATATTTTCTTTCGCAGCTAAGAACTTGAGAATTTTTTAATATGCCATCGCGTTCGCAACGAAGATGGGAACGGTCTGAAATTAATTACGAGACCACGGATCTTTGCGCGAAATACAATTTTGCTGAGAATTTAAGATACGACGCGATAAAAGTGCAGAACGATTGAATAAATTTCTTATTCCAAGTACGCGTTGTACTAGAAATTGCGAGAAGACTAAATAAATTCATTTCTGTCATTCTTACAGGGAAACACAGACAATTTAAGAAACGACGCGATAAAAGTAAAGGACGATTGAATGAATTTCTTAATCCAAATAGGCATTGTACTAAAAATTGCGAGAAGACTAAATAAATTCATTTCTGTCATTCTTACAGGGAAACACGGCATTCGCGTAATTAAACGTGCAAGAGCAACGATAGATAGTTCTAAATAATTGTCCGTCTTGCACGAGACGTCGCAATAAACTCCAAACAGCCTTTAATATCGAATAGCGTTTCCAATTTTTATCCCGGTCCGAGACCAAGCAGAAATATTGAACGGAGCTGGTCCCTCAACAATACTCTCCAGGGACGTTTTAAGTCGAGCCTCTTCTTGGAACAACCGGAGATAAAACGATAAACATTATCTTCCTCCAATCATCTCAACCATTCCAATTACGTTTATGCCGAATCTACGTCCCTTTCAATCAATTCCCTCCTCGATGTGTTGCAAATCGTTGTCGTATTATAATATAACGATAGAGACAAAGTCGCGGTCGTCTTCGAGAAATCTGTCGTATCAAAATTTACTACTTAAAGCAAGATGTCAACCATAATGTCCAATCGAAAAGGTTTGTTTTATTCAAGAGAGATTTATTCGAGTTTAACATTGGAGTTACCGAGCATTAAAAGCAGCTGTTTTATATCAGCTTATAAGAGTAACAAATAACATGTACAGTCTATGTACAGGATGTCCTAAAATTATTGTATTTCCGGGAACTGAAGGGTTCATGAGGTCATTTGAAGTAACTTTTTCCTCAGCGAAAATGCAATCCGCGACTTTGTTTACGAGTTATTAACGAAGAACGGTGGCCAATGAGAGGCGAGATCAGCTGGCGCGTGGCGGCCGAGCCAATGAGCGGAACTGGGCTTCGTGAGCACGTTGGCTCGGCCGCCTCGCGCTAGTCGAGCTCGCTTCTCATTGGTCAGTGTTTGTTGTTAATAACTCGTTAACGATGCCTCGGAGAACATTTTTGTAAAGGAGAAAGTTTCTTCAAATGATCTCAGGAACCCCATATTTCCCGGAAGTACCATAATTTTGGGACACTAGTCAATATACTAGTCAATACTAGTCAGTAATATATATGATATATACAGTATGATTTTGAACGAGCGTTATTGTAATATTTGTTGCAATTAACGCATATATTGAATAAATAACTCATAAATGTATTTCTACAATTTCGCTAATTGTAGATTCGAAACTTAATGACCCGTCAGTTCGAAGAGTTCCGTGAACCTAGTGTTAAATTATTAGATAATGTCCATCAACGAAGGCCACGAACAATATTCGAGATGTTGAAATTAAGATCGTTGTATTAGGCTTGACATTCTAATCGTACAATCGAGATCGATCGATATTAACAGCTGATTTAATCGCAATGGCCGATGGATTGCCGCCGAATTCAACGTCGCAACTGATTCTGACTATAATAATGCCAACTCGCATACAAGGAATTCCTTCGATACACGCACCAGGACCGTACAATGGGAAATTCATGGACCTTTTTATTAGCCGAACGTATGATTCTCCGCACTTTCGCGAGCGTGCATCAATTTGTCCACTGTGCGCCAGCAGGAAACCGAGCATAGAAACACGCAGGGAAATCGAGGAGGCCATTTCCGGGCGCGTTGTTCCGCTCTAAACAATTTCCAGCGTCGTTTGCGTTTCCGATTCCCGTTCCCGTTAGGCTGCACGTCGGCCACGGTCGATTAAATGCGAAAAGGCGATCCGAACGGGGCCGACGGTGCACTCTGCAAGATATACGCCGGCATTCAGAGGATTTTCCAGCGTGGTGGACCCTAATTCCCGAGCTAAATAAGCGGCCCGTTATTTCGTCCGCGAATTCCGGGCGGCTCGCGACGAGATACGGTGCCCCGGTGGTCTGGCTTTGGAACCGTTCCGAGATCGTTTCCTAAAACGTCCTACCGACGGTTCTTAGAGATATCGCGCCCGGCAGACGCTGGGTAAACGTTTTTCAAAGGAAATTCCACTCCGGCCGAGGGGACGTGCACGATTTATCAAAAGATCGGATTATCCTCGGGGGAGACATGTTGCGAGCAGTACAAAATGCTCGGATTCCGTGCGGAGGCTTTATGTGGTCATCGACAAGAACGGCATGGGGAATGATACGGGGGGGGGGGGGGAA